CCTCTTTTTTTAACGTATCTACTCTTCTAAAATGATTTCTTTTTCTAATATGACACATCTCAAGTAATAAAGTCAACTTACCCTGACTGGGTATACTCTTGCATCACAGAAGCTACTCTCTGCACCAGCTGAGCTGTGGGAATGGGTTCTTGGTAAACAAGATAATATTGCTGAGCTAGTTTTCGAGCTCTGTGTACAAGCACTCTAGCAAACAAGGAAGAAATAAAGTTTAATTAAAGTGAGGACATTTTAAAGACTCATTCTTCTTCTAACAGCATATAACTACAAGTTTAGTAACTACGTGCTCAAAGCCAGTCTTGCTACTACATGATTCCAGTTAATTTACAAGAAAACATCACAGCATCACAGAGATGAGCCACAGGAAATAAGGAAAAGGCAAAAAGCGACTAGCAGTACCAGCCAGCTTAATAACAACAGATTTAGTGTATACTAGTACAATGAGAGCTTTATCTCCCTCCAGGGTTTCAAGATTGTGCTCTTTCTCCCAAGGGTAGTCACCCTGATGCTTTATACCTCAATCCAGCACACACATATACACCTGCACACATGACCAAAAGTTCAAGCATTTTTATTCTCTCTGCCTCAAACTTTCTCACTTCAAAAAGTCTCTTTCAAAGATTAAAGGATAGCAAATAACTACTTGTAACTTAAAAAATGTAAAATTAAGAATATACTGTATAATAATCAAGCATATAGCAAAACCAATAGGATGTAACTTTACCTGCTTATGTACTACTGATCTGAATGAATCATGCACATTACCACCCTGTACAATAAAACTCAGTTTATTCCATCAGTAGTAGCACACTGAGGCATCCCTTCTATAAACCACTAACAAGGTCCACTATAGTGAAGCATGATCACATTCCAGAGACAGTGTTGCTTTTAAACTTATTAAAGGGAAATTCTGGCTCTACTTATTTTGTTCCACACAAAATCAAGAATGAAGTCATATTTCTTTTATTGTTAAATGACAGAGAGCTGTCAATCTCTTTCAACTTATTTAAGGTTTACATAATTATTAACAACTTGACTATTTGGCAGGAAGGTGTCAAGATTAAAAATAATTTGCAGTGGTTCTCAACCTACTGTCCCTTCAAAAACAGTTCCTCATGTTGTGACCCAACCATAAAATTATTTTCGTTGCTACTTCATAACTGTAATGTTGCTACTGTTATGAATCGTCATGTAAATATCTGATATGCAGGATGGTCTTAGGCGACCCCTGTGAAAGGGTCGTTCGACCCCCAAAGGGGTCGCGACCCACAGGTTGAGAACCGCTGATCTAGATCTTGAATGGCTGTCTTATTCAGAAATTTTCAGTGGCCTTTGAGAATTTTGTCCCTTTACTAAAAACAAATAAATACAGGAGAAGCTACTAAACAGAGGTAAGAAGAGTAAGTACTGTATCCATCTCCTCTTTTACAACCAACTAGCTTGCATTGAGTATCCTCCTTAAAATAATCCTTTATGCTGCTGTTGCTATACAAAACAAAACAAAAAGGAAGTTGGGAGATTAAAGGATAAACATTCCTTGATTTTTTTCTCTCCTCAAATATAGATTATGAGAAGTAATGAGACGTGAGAAAATTAATAAATAGTATAGCATACCTGTAATCTGGGCCCATGCCACTATATACCAAGCCTATATGTTTGGTAATTGGCTCCACTTTGTGTACACTTCGCTCATCATACAGAATGGATTTCTGTTTCTTCTCCGTTGCTAATACAACACCATTTGCAGCTTAAAAAAACACACACACAAAAAACACTCCACCTAAATGTTTAATCACTTAAAGACTGCTTCAAGAGCTTTAGGATTATAGCTACATTTTACCAATTTCCTTTTACTTACAAAACTTTTTCTTCTGGATTTCTCTATTAAAACACATTGCGGACCAGTAGTTTTATTGCTAGCTTTACCCAGTGGCCAGGCAAGTTTCTACTGAACGAGTACAAAAAAGTTTTACAAAGATGTTAAAGGCACGCTTTAAAATTAAATACCCATTGCATTTTGAAGTTATTTATTACATATTCTTACAAGCTAATATCTTTTTCAAGTATGATACTTTGTAAAACACTAATACGAAGCAAGAATTCTCTGTGATCCGCTGCAATGTGTTAAAATCACCTAAGGAGCAACAGTAAATCAATTTTTCCCTCAGTGGTCATCCACATACACAAAAAAGTCCCTACAGCTAACAATATTAGATAACTTTCTCAAAAGTATTCCAGGACATCTAAGTGCCCACATGTTTTAAAGTAAAAGAATTTTGCCTACTCATCCTATTTTTCTTATAATCTGAAATTTAAAAATCAATGACAAAGACTTTTTTTAAAGGGTATCTTTAGATTAAGTTTTGTAATAACTGTTTCTAAATTACAGGAAGGATAAAAACTGCCAGAGAATAGTGATATATAATTAATGGAAAAATAAAATAATACTCAGTTATCTGAATGGGGAAAACTATAGATTTTCACAACTAATTAGATAAAGGTGTTATATTTATTTGGAAAAAAATTTAATCAGCTTGTTAGGCTTACTATATTCGTGAAACTTCAGATACTGTACATTAGAACTGTTAAAAATTATGCTGTCACAGCTTTTTATTCATAAATTAATTACTAATTAATTCCATAAGAACACTGGGATAACTATTGGCAGGCATCTGAAATGAATGAAGTATTTAATTACCTTTGATGCCCACTGAAGGGGCTCCTCCAGCTACAGCAGCCAAAGCATATTCAATCTGAACAAGTTTACCAGATGGGCTTAAAAAGAAACAAAGGTGTTTATTAAATTCACACATTCTCAAATATTTATTATAGAACATCTCCAAATCCATTCATCAAAAATCAAGAAATAGCTAAACTTTGAAATTTATCATAAAATTGTACGGAAGCTGAAGTTTACTAGGCGATTTGAACATATTCATAGTGAAGTGCTCATCTGTTTCCTTTGGTTATTTTCTTGTCTGCCACTTAAAGAAGTAGCATTACTGTAGCCTTTCACTACTTACCTCAACCTTGTGATTTGGGGCAAGTTATTAAATCTCTCTGTACCTCAGTTTTCTAATCTAGAAAATGGAGATAAACAGTACTATAGTAGTTACCTATTTCAAAGGTTGTGAAGATGAAATGAAGTGATACCTTCTGTTCCCGGCACAAAATTAATACTAAGTAAACACCAAAATAGTAATGTTATTAAGAACATGAATGTGTCTGTTAACTACCAAACAGCAGCATATACCTCATGTGGGTGGAGCTATATATATTTTAGAAAGTGGAATGGCCTAAGACTTAAGACCTAGACATCAGTCACAACAAAGTATAATATACACGTTTACCGTATTTATCATTGCATCTTTCTGTATGAAACTCACCGATCTGTGAGCTCACTGACCAATCCCTGTATTCAATCACGCCTCTACCCCATTCCAATATCTCTATCTGGGATAACTGAAACAGCCCTTCTAACTACTTTTCCTCTTTCATCCTCACTTCCATCCCCCCAGCCGGAATTACCTTTGTCCCATGTCACTCCCCACTTAAATTCTACAGTAACTTCTGGGTTCCCTTAAAATAAAAACTCCTTACTCTAGCCCTACAAGATTGGACCTGACCCACGCTAACTCCTTGCTCACTGTACATCTGCCTTATTCAATTCCTTTAAGAGATCAAGCTCTTGTCCAACTTTAGGACTTTCATACCTGCCCATGTTCCCTGTCTGCAACGCTCTCTCACCCCTCAATCTTCCAACAGCTGGCTCCTTTTCACCTTCCAATCTCAAAAATCACCCTCAAGCACGGGCCTTTCCAGACTCTGATTACCCAATCTAAAGTTATGTTCCTTAATCTAGACCCACGAATCTCAGAGGGAAGGGGAGGGCGGAAAGAGATCAACCCAAGAACTTATATGAACATATGCAAAAGCCACGGACACAGACAATAGTGTAGTAGGCTTGGGGGATGGAGGCGGGGCAGGCAGGCCCCATTCCCAGATCAAAGGGGGGGAAAGAGGGGACATATGTCATACTTTAAACATAAAGATAAATTTAAAAATAAAGTTATGTTCCTTCTTTAAGCCTCTTTTTGTAAAACTTCCCAGGAAGGGGGAAACATTTTCCAGAATGCAATTACAGGCACCAATTTGTTAACTCGTTTCCTGTTAATATTCCCAACCGCATGTGATACACATAAATACCTAGGAGGAGATGATAGCGTAGCGCTTTCATTTTTAGTTCCTAAGCTTCAAATAAGGGCACCGAAGAAACCGAAAGTGGGAGACTTTGAACGACACTAGTACGAAAAGGAGGCTAAAACTCAGATCAAATGTTAAATTGAGGTTTGCTGAGATCTGACCAACATTCCGAGCTCCAGAAGCTCCGGAGTCAGGCCGACCTGGGTCAGGAAGAAAACCCTGAGTTCTGGACGGGACACCCAGCCGCAGCTCGGCCAAAGCTGCCTTCTTCTCTAGTATCCAAAGCGAAAGCAAATCCCTGGCTGAGGCCGGTACCTTCCCACAACCTCAGGGTCGCCCGGGACTCGCGACCTGCGTTCCCGCGGCCTCCCGGGACCGCTTGCTCCCCAGGCCGTGGGCGGGCCCGACAAATGACTTTGCAAAGTCGTACTTCCACCCCCGGCCCCTACTGGGCCCTCCGAAAGCACCGAGCCGAAGACCAAGTCGGAAAATAAAAAATAAAAAATAAAAACCGGTGGGCAGAGATCCTGCAACCTCAGCCACGCAGAGAATCTCCATACCTGAAAGTAGTCAACGAAAAGCTGTAACCGCGCTCCGCCATCTTTGCCCGGAGAACCGAAGCACGTTCTCGCACCTGCGCACTACGTCCGGCTTCCTTTCATTCCCCCCCAGGCGCCTTCCTTCCTTCCTCTCCCTCTGATTGGAGGAAAGTCAGAGGCGCTCCAGAGGCATGCTGGCCGTTGTAGTTCCAGACGCAGGGTTGCCCGACTCTGCCTCAGTGCGCATGCTCGGAATGGGGGCGGGACTCGGCAGCCGCGTAGAAAGCTCAGGTGTTTGCGACCATGCTGGCGGTGGTGGTTCCTCCGTGGCCTGCAGCCCGGGCACTTCTCCGGAGCTGTTGGCAGCGACTGCAGTGGAAACTTCAGCAGAGCCGGCCAGGCTTTCCCAGCCCTCCGTGGGGTACGTAACGGAGGTCGCGGTAGAGAAGAGGTGGACGAGGGAACGCCAGGCAGCGGGGTGGATACAGTTCATGCGCTGCCCTTCGCCCACGTTTCTGTCCGCCACAGGGGACGTTTTCAGGGACACTTACTTAGGAACAAGAGACAGTTGTTTTTTCCGCTCCCTCTCCGCAAAAGGAAAAGCCCTCAGACACCTTCGTACACGGAATGTGACTGAGGCTCATTAGCTCAGCATCAGGGGCCGCCTCTATGGGGGTCCTTTGATCTTGCGGTTCCTGTCCTCCCGCAGTTAGTCTTTGCGCTGGTGGAGTTCCGTGCAGTTAAGTTCTGATCCCCGTGTTTCCCCCGGAAGCTAATTTGAGTGGGAAGTGTCTTAGATATTCAAGTTTTATATGTACATCCTGCTCCATTTCTGAGGTCTCCCGGACGTGGTGAGGCACCGGCAGCCGGAAGTGAGCGCCCCCTCACCAGGGGCCGGCGCCGGCCTGTGCTCCGGGGGGGTCATTCCCAGAGCGAGCCCAGCAGACACCACCTTCCGGCTGGGGACACGGGCCGATCAAGGGCCCGAGGCTACTCACGCCTTCCAGGGCCTGTGCTGTCCACCGCTGGGCGATGCTGAGAGAGACTTTGAGGTTAAAGGGATACCAGTTTTTAAGTGCTGCACAGCTTTGTATACTTTTTTATTTTAATTTTTTAAATGTAAAATTTTTTTATTTTTTTTGTGGATTGATTTTAGAGAGAGGAAGGTTGAGTGAGAGGGGATCAAACCCTCAACCTCGGCTATTGGCCCCATGCTCTAACTGACCCACCCATCCAGAGCCTGTATATTCTTAAGAGTACCTAAAATCAAAAGAAATACTGCAAGTCTGAGGAATGGCAAGGAGCGGAGAAAGGAATCTATTTGATTTTATAAACAACTTAGAAAAAAGTGAAAGTTTTTTCAAAACAGTGAAAGTTTTTTCAAAAAAAAGTTGATGGTTACATAAACTAATATACAACGAGTGGTGAGCTAGTTCTTTTTCTTAGAGAACAGACAGTAATCGAGATAAAATATGAACTAAGTGACTTAAATAGGGCCTGCCAGCTTATATGACAAAGGAGCTAACTCAGTTTGAATATAATTTTTAAAAAAAAGCCAGTAGGCAGTTTTCTCACTAGGTCAGAAGTGCCCTTTGGGACTCTCAAGGTTAGATTTATTTGTAAAATAAGTAGGTGTACTCCCCACCGACAGGATATGGACAAACTCTTGCTAGAATTCCACTGATTTCATTTCAGCAGTTGTCTCTAAGAAAGAAATTATACTCGTGCTTTTTAAAATTGCTTTATGTATGAGCTTTGGTATAATTTAATAGCTAAGGTTTTCTGTTTAATGTCTATTGAATGTAATATTCTAAATTATCTATATGTCTGTTTGCATATCATTCTTGATTGTTAAGGATAATTATATTTGAAAATAGTCATTTAGAAACTAAAAACTGATTCTGCAATCCTCATATTTTATTTTGTAGAACCAGCATTAGCGGTCCAAGGTCCGGCTATATTTACAGAATCAGCAAATGATACGAATGGAAGTAAGGAGATTTCCAGCCTTTTGGATAGTATCTTTTGGATGGCAGCGCCCAAAAAGAGACGCACCATTGAAGTTAACCGGTGTAGGAGAAGAAACCCTCAGAAGCTTATTAAAGTTAAGGTAATATGTTCATTTTTGTATGTGTACTTTTTCTTACGACTATCACTACATATCTTCTTTGTCTATTCATATAACCTTTGGGTAAATTATTCTCAAATCTTGTATGCCCACTTACTTCTGGCTTAAATAAAACACAATATTCTCAGTATGTATGTCTACTGTCGTGTAGCCTAAAGAGTAACACAGTCAAGGAGGGAGTCTGGAGCCTGCACAGAGGACTGGATTGTAAAGAGCCTAAATGACTTTTTAACTGTGAGCTGTGCCACTCCTGAGCTATATAATTTTGAACTATTTGTGGGTAAACATTTTAACTGTAGCAGGACCTGAAATTAAAGTTAGAAGCAATAGTTATATTAAACCTCGGTTTTTCTGGCTTTTACATATTTATTCTATTCTTCATTGTGTCCAGTAAAATACTGTGAAGGAAATTCCTTAGATTGGTAATAAAAATAGCTAACACCTATTAAGTGACTATGATATACCTAAGATGTGGATTATCTCATCAGTCTAACAGCCCCCCAAAGTAAACAGTGCTTTGGTCATTTTTAGGATGAAGAAACTGAGGTAAAAAGAATTACCTGTGGTCAGGTTTTGAGCCTGGCAGTCTAATTCTTGAGCTCAATTTCTTCTCTTTAAATTTTTTTGTGTGTTCCTATCAGCCAGTTCCAGATCTCTCCATTAGGTACATGGATACACTGTCTTCATTGACCTAGTACAAAAAATACAGTGTTTACTACCTTTAATCTGTTAATTTATGGCTTTAATGCCTATGTTTGAATTATTGGCATTCCATAGCAGCAGTACAGTACAGATGAAACTCCAGAGCAGAACTTACTATTAAGCTGTTAAGTTCATTATTAAACTAAGCCCTTAGAACTTAAGCCAAGAGGTGTTAATGAGTCAAAGTTGGAACTAGACTTAAAATCTGGAACTGAAAAATACTTCATTAATTAAACAACAATAATTCATAGAATTGGTTGAGAGAATTTAAAATTTTAGGGACCTGTTATATGATTCCCCTGACTGTTAATTCTGAGGGAAAAGAATAGCTCTTATCCTGTGCATTCATTGAATTGTTTTCTGCTACATGAATTACCCTAGGTGCTTTTTTTTAAATATTAAATTTATTGGAGTGACATTAGCTAATTAAGTTTCAACTATGCAAGTCTATGATACATTATCTGTTTTTTGCATTGTGTTTCCACCACCCAGAATCAAGTTTCCTTCCATCACCATGAATTTGGCTTTCTTTACCTTTCTCTACTTTCTCTTCTCTGCTAACCACCATACTATTTGTGAGTGTTTGTTTTGTTTGTTGCTTTCTGTTTTAAATCCTACATATAAGTGAAATCATATGGTTTTTATCCTTTTCCAGCGGACTTACTTCACCTACTATGATATTCTGAAGATTCTTATGGCAGTATTTCATCTTTTCTTATGGTTGAGTAGTAGTCCATTGTGTATATGTACCACATCTTCTTTATCCAGTCCTCTACCAGAGGACACTTTGGTTGTTTCCATGTGAATAATGCTGTAATAAACATATGGGTAAATATACATCTTACAAATAAATGTTTTCAGATTTTTCAGGTCAGTACCCAAAAGAGATATTGCTGGGTCATATGGTAGCTCAATTTTTAATTTTTTGAGGACCCTCCATATTGTTTTCCATAGTCTTTATACCAATTTACTTTCCCACTAGCAGTATATGAAGGTTTCTTTTTCTCCCCGTCCTCTAACACTTGTTTTTATTAATTGGTTTTAGAGAGAAAAAGAAACATCAATTTATTGTTCCACCCATCCACGCATTCATTGGTTGGTCCTAGTATATGTCAGGACCAGGGATCGAACCCACAATTTTGGCCTATTGGGACGTTGCTCTAACCAACTGAGCTACCCAGCCAGGGCTCTTTGTGGCTTTAATTTGCACTACCCTTATCACTAGTAAAGTTGAGCATCTTTTTATGTATCTGTTGGCCACTTGTATGTCTAACCGGGGGGAAATGTCTGTTAGGTGCTCTGCCCATTTTCTAATTGATTTTTTTTGTTCAGTTGTATGAGTTGCTTTTATATTTTGGATATTAGCCTATTATTAGAGGTATTGTTTGCAAATGTTTTCTCTCACTCGGTTGGTTGCCTTTTTGTTTTGTTGGCTTTCTTTCACTGCGCAGGAGCTTTTTAGTTTGATATAGGGGTCTTTTACCTTAGGGGTCGACTTCATAAAATCCTTTCTCAGATCAAGATCCGTAAGTTTAGTACATATGCTTTCTTCTATGTATTTTACTGTTATATTTAGATCTTTGGTCCATTTTGAGTTCATTTTTGTGTATGTTATCAAATAGCAGTCTTTTCTTTTGCATATGAGTTTCCAATTTTTCCAACACCATATATTGAAGAGGCCTTCTTTTCTCCATTGTATGGTTTTGGCTCCTCTGTAAAAAATTAGTTTTCCATAGGTATGTGGATTTATTTCTGGGCTCTGAATTATATTCCATTTATCTGTGTGTCTGTTTTTCTTCCCACTGTTTTGATACTATCGTTTTAGAGTATAATTTGAAATCATGGAGTGTGATACCTCTGGCTTTGTTCTTTTTCCTCTCAGGATAGCTTTGGCTATTTGGGGTCTTTCATGATTCCCTACAAACTTGATGATTTTTTGGTTCTATTTCTTTTTATAATGCCATTGGGATTTTGATAGGGATTTCATTAAATCTGTATATTGCTTTAGGTGCTATGGCCATTTTAACTGTTGATTCTTCCAATCCATGAATATATAATACCTTTTCATTCCTTTGTGTCTTCTTCAGTCTCTTTCAGTAGTATCTCTATTTTTCTGTGGACAGGTCTTCACTTCTTTTGTTAAGTTTATTGCTAGGTATTCTATTTTTGTCTGAGATTTCAAACTCACTGAGGAAAGCAGTAAATTTTTGTAGATTGATTTTGTATCATGCTACTTTGCTGTATTTGTTTATTATTCCTAATAGTTTTTGGTGGAGTCTTTAGCGTTTTTTAATGTAAATAATCATGTTATTTGCAAAAAGTGACAATTTTACTTCTTCATTCCCAATTTGGATGCCTTTAATTTCTTTCTCTTGCCTGATGGCTCTGGCTAGGACTTCCAGTACTATGTGAATATCAGTGGTGAGAGCGAACATCCTTGTCTTGTTTCTGATCTTAGAGGAAAATATTGTCTTCATTATTGAAAATACTAGGGCCCAGTGCACAACATTTGTGCACTGGTGGGGTCCCTTGTGGCTGCCAGCTGCCAGCCGAGTATTCCCTCCCTTCCCCCAGCCACCGGCCACCGCTGGCCAGGGCCTCCCTCCCTTCCCCCGGCCATCCCTGCCCCCTGGTCTGCCTGACCTCCCTCAGCCTGGCCTGCACCCTCTTGCAATCCAGGACCCCTCAGGAGATGTTGGAGAGCCAGTTTCAGCCCAATCCCTACAGGCCAGGCTGAGGGACCCCACCAGTGCAGAAATCCATGCACCAGGCCTCTAGTATGCATATAAGTTCTTTGGTTAATCTCTTTCCACCCACCCCCCTCCTCCTTCCTTCAGATTCATCAGTCTGTTCCATGCTTCCATGTCTCTAGATCTGTTTTGTCCGTCAGTTTGTTTTGTTCATTAGATTCCACATATAAGTGAGACCATGTGATACTTGTCTTTCTCTGACTGGCTTATTTCGCTTGGCATAATACTAACCAAGGTCCCTCCATGCTGTCTCAAAGGGTAAGAGATCCTTCTTTTTTTACATCTGTATAGTATTCCATTGTGTAATGTACCACGGTTTTTTTATCCACTCATTTACTGATGGGCACTTGAGCTGTTTCTAGATCTAAGTATTGTAAATAGCGCTGCTGTGAACATACTGGGTGCATGTATTCTTTCTGATTGGTGCTTTGCGATTCTCCGGATATATTCTAAGAAGTGGTATCACTAGATCAAATGGCAATTCCATTTTTTAATTTTTAGGAAACTTCATACTGTTTTTTATAGCGTCTGTGCCAGTCTGCATTCCCACCAGCAGTGCACTAGGGTTCTCTTTTCTCCACATACTTGCCAGCACTTGTCATTTGTTGAGTTGAGAGTTTCTTATGTATCACCTTATGTTGAGATACTTTCCTTCTATTTTGAATTTTTTTGAGTGTTTTAATATAAATTGATGTTGTATCTTCTCAAATGCTTTTTCTGTACCTATTGACATGATTGTTATCCTTTATTTTGTTAATGTGATTTATCCCATGGATCAATTTGCACTCTACTTGATAGTGATGTATTATCTTTTTAATGTATTGTGTTTTATTTAATTGTATTTTGTCTGGGATATTTGTATCTATATTTACTAAAGATATTGGCCTGTAATTTTCTTTTTTTGTGTTGTCCTTGCCAGGTTGGTTGGTTGGTTGGTTTTTTTCTTGCCTGATTTTGATATCAGGGTCATGTTGGCCTCATAAAATGTCTCTTCTTCAATATTTGCAAGAGTTTAAGGAGGATAGCTATTAAATCTTCTGTGACAGTTTGTTCACTAATGAAGCCATCTGGTCCTGGACTTTTACTTTGGGGGAAGTTTTTTATGACTGTTTCAATTTCTTTACTGTTGATCAGTCTATATTTTTTAATTCATCATGATTCAGGCAAGGAAGGTTAAATATTTCTAAGACCTTGCTCATTTCTTCTAGGTAATCAAATTTTCATAGTATCCTTCTATGGTCCTTTGTATTTCTCCAGTTTCCAGTATAACATCTCCTCTTTCATTTCTGGTTTTGTTTGAGCCTTTTCTTTTTTTCCTTATTGTGTAAAGTCAGACATTTCCCAGTTTTATTCATCTTTATTTCCTTTCTTCTACTGACTTTGGGTTTCTTTTGTTATTCTTTCTCTAGTTTTTTAAGGTGAAATATTACGTTGTTTATTTGAGATTTTTTCTTGTTTCTTGAGGTCAGCCTGTAGTGCTATAAACTTTCCTTTTATTACCACTTGTGCTGTATCCCCCAGATTTTGATATGTTGTATTGTCGTTCTCATTTGTCTCTGTAACTTTTTGTTGTTGTTGTTAATCCTCACCCAAGGATACTGTTTCCATTGATTTTTTTCTTTTTTTAAGAGAGAGTGGAAAGGGGTTAGGGAGGGAGAGAAGGGAGGAAAGAGAGAGAAACATTGGTGTGAGAGAAACACATCGATTGGTTGTGTCTCATATGCACTCCACCAAGGCCAGGAAACAAACCTATGGCCCTTTGGTGAGAAACATCGATAGGTCACGTCCCTCATGCACCTTGACTGGAGATCAAATCCACAATCTGGGTATGTGCCCTGACCATGAATCAAACTCGCCACGTTTTGGTGTACAGGACGATGCTCTAACCAACTGAGCCATACTCTCCAGGGCTGAAATCTTTTATTGTTGTTGTTTTATATTTGAGACTTCACTGTTCAGTAGGTTGATAAGTAGAGATCTTTCTTTTGTTTTCCAGTAGGTGTTGCTAAAGCATAACTCAAAGTTGCATAGCTGCCTCCCCTCACCCTCCCAGAGCTTACAGCAGCCCCAGCAGATGATGTAGCAGTAGCAGTGAATGTGTCAGTGACAGCACACTCTCTCTGCAACACTGAAGACTAGAAGGGCAGAAGTATTTCTCCCTGAGTGTCAGGCACACACTGCAGCTCAACCCAGTGACGGGCTTCTGGGATCTCTGTGGGTGGTGGTGTCTTTGCTATGGAGTATGACCTGTATTCCCTGGGGAGGTGGGCATCCCTTATCTCGGCACCACCCCCATGGGGGATTGTGGTAGGCGATGGGTCTCTGGGTCTGTGAGATCCTGACACTGCCTCCTGCAACTAGATGCTGCTAGCAGTGTTGTCCTTTCTGAGGCGTCCCAGGTGCCTCCACCAGGCTCCACTGCAGTGGGTGGGGTGGGGTGGGGTGGGTGGGGAAAGGTCTGTTCTTGAGTTTGTGGCCTTGCTCTCCTTCCAGTAATGGTGGCTGCCCGACCTCAGCTGCCCTATCTCTGCCCTGTCATAAGGTTAAGCTGCAGTATGCTCCTGCTGCTTAGAGTTGGATGTCTCTGCCCTCCAGTCCTCAGGGCTGCGGAGAGAGTGCACTGTAACCTTATACCTCCCCTGCTACCTATCTGCAGCTGCCCCTGTGAGTTTGGGGAGGGTGAGGGAAAGCCGCTCTGCATCTGTGGCTTTGTCTTCTACCTGGTAATAGCAACTACTAGACCACAGCTGCCACACTTTTGTATTCCATCTCTGCCCTGCACTGGGTTTTGCTGCAGTGTTTACTGGTCACTCAGGAGGAATGTTGATTCTGATTCTGTTCCTTAGGGCTGCAGTGTGTGGGCTATAACCCAACACTTTTCCTACTACTGAGGGGCCATAGTGAGCTCTGGGCTGCTGCTTTGATACCCATGTCTGGCCTTCTTCCTTCCCTCCTCCCCTTTTCCCTGAGATACACCCACCTTCAGATGTTTCAATGCATGGATCTCTCAGCTGTGTTCATGTGTTGAGCAGAGAATCCTCTGTTGCATTATAGCTGTCGAACTTGTAACTTCAATCATGCGCATCCTGCTGATGTCATTCCTGTTTTTCTTTATATTTCAAACCTACTTTTAAACACGTCAAAAAGACTTCTTTAAAGGTTGTCATTTTCTCATTAAAGTTGGATAGATATGTATAAAAACTCATTAAAATACCCTCAATTTATAACAAGACAGGGAAGTTTAACATTAAAGAGTAATCAATGTTCCTATGTTAAAAAAGAAAATTACACCATCTACCAACTATACTTCACATAGGCATTTGAGTTATACTGTGAGAAATCAGGAAGCCAGCTTGTAATGTGTCTATCATTTTGTTTTTCCAAAGATAAATTGAAAGGAAAAGTTAATTTTTTTGTATTGTATTCTTAGCATTTGAAGATGTGGAAATGAAATAGAGTACCGTTTTAAATAATATGACTGCTGTGTAGATTCAAAATCAGTGGACCTGCGTTGTAGTCCCAGTTTTTATACTAACTCAAACTCAATGTTGTTTGTCCTCAGTTTCTATTAAAGTGAGGTTGAACCAGATGGTATGTGAGTTCTCATGTAGAAAACTTAAATATAAGCACCACTCCTATCAGTAATTTTTTGTTCATTATTTTGCCTCTTGTTAAAATATGGCTTTTTTGTTGTTGATTTTTTTTATAGCACAACATAGACGTTTGTCCTGAATGTGGTCACCTGAAACAGAAACATGTCCTTTGTGGCTATTGCTATGAGAATGTGCGCAAGGAGACTGCAGAAATCAGAAAAGAGATGGGGAAACAAGAAGGGGGCCCTTTTAAGGCTCCTACCGTAGAGACCCTGGTGCTATACAGGGGAGAGACACCATCTGAACAAGATCAGGGCAAGAGGATCATTGAACGAGAAAAGAAGCGACCATCCTGGTTCACCCAGAATTGACACCAGAGATGTTTAAAAAGGGTAACTTAACGTAAAACATTTCTCCTGGAAAAGAGGAAGTTTTTTTATTTTTTATTTTTGTGTCTTAAAATCATCAATACAGCTTAAAACATTCTTCATAAGATGTTTTGTGTGGGTAATTTGAAGACTACACCGGGAATAAAATCAAAATGTTTGTGCAGAGGCTCTGGATTTATGTCTGTTTCTATTATAAGGTTTTAAGTAAACATTAAATTTTCAAGACAAAATAATAAAATAATTTACAATTCATACCAAGAGTTCCGTGTTTGGCTCTGATTTTGTTTGCCGGTGTTTCTTCTTACACAAGTATACTTACACAAATACTTTTGTTTAAGTAACACCTGGAAGTAGTTTATTATTTTAATTCTGGTTATTGTTTTTTAATATGGTAATTCTAGCAATAAGAAAAGGGTTTTTCTTGTTTGGGGTTTTTTGTTTTGTTTTTGAAAACTAAAATTGCCTTTGGTGGAATTTATATGGGATGCATTATGTTAATTTACTTAGAAAAAATAGTTCTTGACATTTTACATGAAATCAAAATAACATTTAGAATTCATTAAATAGCTCATGAGATTTGTAATTTATTGTTTTGGGAGAAAGACTTTTTTTAATATATTTTATGGATTTTTTTACAGAGAGGAAGGGAGAGGGTTAGAGAGTTAGAAACATCGATGAGAGAGAAACATCGATCAGCTGCCTCCTGCACACCTCCTACTGGGGATGTTCCCACAACCAAGGTACATGCCCTTGATCAGAATTGAACCTGGGACCTTTCAGACCGCAGGCTGACGCTCTATCCACTGAGCCAAACCAGTTAGGGCAGGAGAAAGACTTTTAAAAGGAGATGTGAGTGAATTCAAAGTACACAGAAAGTGTACTAAGGATGTTGCCTTTACATTTTTCTTCTAGTGTGTCCTTTTAGTTTATTTTACATTTTTATCTCTTTGTAGCAATGACCTTTTTAACCTTTTTAATGTAAAGCAAATAATTTAATATTTCTCTCTCCCTCCTCTATATCTACCCTGAGCCCAAGGTTTGCTATATTTTTTCCTAAGTAAGATAACTTATTAAAATACACAGAGGTAAGTAAGTTGGGGATTATGGTTAAATGGAAAATCAGTAGACATGATAAAACCCAGGGATATATTTTAAACAATGCATATAACAGTAACCTGAATAAGTATTAGAATTAGGCATTTGAACTTTCTTTTCCTTGGAAAGAGTTTACATGGATAAGTCTCTACAAGTTAAGACACGGTCCAGGAATACACCACTTTCTTGGTATATATGTCATTTGATATGTATGCTATTTTATTGTATTGACAACTAGCTTCAAAACTTCATATGTCAAATTTGCTGCAAGTATTAACATCATAGATATTTTTATGCTTAGAAATGTTGAATTTTGTACCAAAAAAAGAGCATTTGTGGAAAGTTTTAATTGATTATTTTGAAAAAAAAGTTATCGAATACTTCAGGAAGAAAGGCAAATGGAAAACCGAAAAGTCATCAGTAAAATGTTGCTTCAATGGCACAAAAGAAAGTCTTTTTGCATTGAATTGTGACTGGTGATGAAAAGTGGATTTATTTTGAGAATACCAAATGCACAAAATCATGGGTTGATCCAGGGCAACCATCAATATCGACTGCAAGGCCAAATCGCTCTGGAAAGAAGATAATGCTCTGTGTTGGATGGGATCAGGAAAGTCTGGTGTATTATGAGTTTCTAAAACCAGGTGAAACCATTAATGCTGACCACTACCAACAACAAATAACCAAATTGAACCACCCTTTGATCGTGAAACGACCAGAATGTTCCAGAAGACACAGCAAAGTAATTTTGCTTCATGATGATGCACCATCACACACTTCAAAACCAGTTAAAGGCATGTTAAGAGATCTTGCCTGGGAAGCATGAACCCACCCACCGTATTCACCAGACCTTGCTCCTTCAAATTACCACTTGTTCCGATCGATGGCACATGCACTTTCTGAGCAGGACTTCAAAAACATACAAAGAAGTGGAAAATTGGGTGTCTGAATTGTTTGCCTCAAAACAAGAAAAGTTCTATTGGGACGGTGTCCACAAATTACCTGAAAGATGGGGAAATGTGTAGCTAACAACGGACATTACTTTGAATAAAGCACTTTTGATGTTTCTCTTGAAATTATTGTGTTTTCTTTGATTACAGAATTCACATTATTAAACAGTACACCTGGTAATTTTAATTGCTTACTGTATTTTTCACTTTTACACTATTTATAAACATTTTCTTAATTTCAAAACATAATATTTTATTAATTATATTTTAAATTTTATTTATACCTTAATTGTCTTGTGATCAGAGAAGGTACTGTATGTTTTTAATCCTATCTAATAAAAGAGAAACATGGTAATTAGCCATACCTCTGCTACCCTTCCCATTGGCTAATCAGGGTGATAATGCAAATTAACTGCCGCCAAGATGGCGGTCGGCAGCCAGGCAGCTTGAAACTAACATGAGGCTTGCTTGCTTCAGTGACGGAGGACTCCAATGTTCCCCGCCTACCTTGCCGGCCTCTGAGCCTGCAGTTTGAAACATTTTAACAAATATAGAAGCTAAAAAAAAAACCAGAAACCTGCTTTCAGCGAGCTGGGATCTCAGAGCTGGAGTTGATACAATGTTTCGATTATAGAAAGCAAACAAACCAGATACCTACTTTCAGCAGCGGAGGCCTAAGAGCTGGAGCAT